TTAGACATTATTCTCTTTTATAGCACATCATTTTTACCTATCTGTTGAAGATTTTTATTCAATATATTGCTACCATAAGTTATGTATATTATATAAATTTAATTAAATACGGTATAATATAGGAAATAGGAATTTCAAAAACCACATAGAAGTTATATGACATCTTTAATTATTTCTTTTAAATAAACATCGTAATAAAAAAAAAATTATTTTATGATACATTTTGTTCTTCCAAAACTCATCATCTCTGCAAATTTCTTCAACATGGATAGGGCCTAAAGGAGACCAGACAATAAAATAACAATATTCCTTGCCTGAAAGATGTAGCTGCACTTGTATTTGGTAGTAATACGGATGAGTGTTTTTTAAATACAACAACCCCTCCTCATCATAGGCAAGAAATTTAATTTTCTTTACAGCTACTCCTTGTTCTATTGAGCAGCTTTTCAGGACAAAGGGACATTTCACTTAAATAGTAAAATTGTTGTCGTCTTCAATTAAACCATCTGGACTAGCAGCTAGGAAATATTCTTCTTCAGTTCCAATGAATAAGCCACAAGGTATAACAGTTAAAACTGTCAAGTCCTCAAATGCACGAATTGCTGTGGCTTCATTGCCCTGACCATATCGCGTAGCTCTATTACCAGTAAATCTTGTTCTGTATATTATCTTTGCTACTGTAAGACGATCCGTCGTTTCTGGCAATCTAAAAATCAATCCAAAATTAGATGCAGTCAGCCTATACTGTCGTTCCTGATGCCAAACGGATTTAAATATTGCCCTCTTGTGATTATTTCTAAATTAATTTTATATGACATTGTTTTTTTAAGATATTCTAGAGCTTTTCTTTTCGAGTGTTCTGTTCCTCTTCATTTACGACATCTTCCACTGTCCCATAATCTTTATCAGCAATTGAAATAATTAATTTTGGTTTATATCCCCGTTTACATTTATACATTTGAGTTCTATTTCCCTTGAGTTTTCTTCTTGTTAAAATTTTTTTGTATATAATCTCCAGTAGCTTCTCTGAATGCATTTACTATTTGTTGAATTCGAATTATAGGAAATAGCGGCCAACTGACACCTCGCTAAATAGGATCCCTTGAACGAAAAGTTAATCTGAAAACAAAAAACTAAATGTAACTACAATGGCGACATTATTTATAAAAATTCGGAGTATAATGTGTAATCTGTTATTTTCAAAAATATCACAACAAACTTCCCGGATATGCAAAAATATATGTTTTTTTTTCTTTATAGAAGAATTTTCGTAAATATGTAGGGAGTTATAATATATTAAAAAAAAAACATTACCTATAACTATTTAAAAAGACAAAAAATGAAAAGACTCTAAATTAGAAGGTATTTGTCAAATTGGCAATGTACTAAAAAATTTTAACTTACCCTTTTCCCTCCAACAAATTTGTTAATAAGGCTATTAAACTGCTCCGCTGCATTGTTGTTTTTATTAATTAAAAATGAATACGCTCTGATTTCTTCCAAAAACTAATCAGATAAAGATTATTACCCATTTGATTTTTGGTGAAAATCTATTTAGCCGTTTTTTCTAAACCGTTGACGTAAATTTCTGACAGACAGGCACACAGACATGTTTTTCGGACCCAGGGCCCTCCAAAACGTGAAAATCAATCAAAATCTCGAGGTCAAAAGTTTGGGCGATCACAATACTTCCTCTCAATAATATAATTCAAAAAAATATAATTAAGGGAAAGTAAAAAGGCTTAGAAATATCAAAATGTAAAAATGTTACTTATGGTACTTACCGCATTCTGGATTGGACATATCGCCGTTGGCCCAATTTGGCAATACTTTTCTTTTTTTCCATATTCTTCACACTAAAGTTCAAAACTCACAAAAAAATCACTTTACTCTACAAATATCTTTTACATAATGTATAATGCAATCCGAGCCACGAAATATATATATACATTTAGATCATGAATCACCTACCTTGATAGGTATTTTCCATTGCGATTCGCAGGTAGCTGATACTTCAACCCCTATCAATATTCTTCAAAAAATTGTTATTAAACGAGGTAAGTGTCAATCAATAACACGTCAAAGTTTTATTGAATATTAAAATTACCTAATTTCCTACATAGAATTAGCTTTATTAACCGATTTGTAAAGTTTTATAAAACTATAATTGTTTTTTAATTAGGGGATTAAAAAATTTGAGATTGTTGTTTTGGAATAAGATATTGTTGATTTCTCTGAAAACTTTATTCTTGATAAACGCGTCTGCATCAGCCAAATATATTGTATTTTCTTTTTTTACCTTTGAAGTTTGTATAATAATAATTACAAATCCGCTTTTAAAATATATTGACAAAAATATACACTAAATGTTCATTTAAATTTATAAAATTATTTAATAAATGCAGAAGGAAAGTAAAACAGACATACTGTCAAAAACATAAAAATCTAGAATCTCAGAAAGATGTAACACATGCGAGCTCGCTCGTCACTGCACTGGTGAGAGTTTCGCCCGGCGCTAACAAATATTTTATTTATTTTTAGCAAGTTTTAGAACAAAAACCTTTATTTTTGTTGTGCGCTCAAACGGCTAAAGATAAAAGCATGCAATTTTGGAAATGGTTACATCTAATATCTAAAAAGTTATGACAGCAGATTTTTGAAAAAAAAAAAAAAAAAATAAAATCGGAGTGAAAATATTTTTTTTCTCAAAAATTACTTTTTAAAAAAAATCGGCTCCCAAACTTTTTTTTAGAAGTATGAAATAAATTTACTCCCAAAATTTAAAAAAAAATCTCTTGGTAAATAACGGCGTTTGACTTTTATTTCAAATAAATGAGGGTATGTATTCCTCTTAATGTCTGGTCTATTATTATTAGATATTGCTTTCTTTTTATTTTGATATTATACCCATTATTTGTTTTGTACCAAGATAAATAATTTTCGCCTTCCCAGAGCAATATTACTTGCATAGATTTCATAAATAAAGACGATTCCTTCATTATCATATTTAATAAATATCTTACCAACAGAAATACTAACAATTTTTAAAGTTAGTTTACCTTTTATTAGGATTAGCTAGAAGTTTATTATATGTAGTTTGATTTTGGATTATTAACAGGTAATATGCTAAATGAGTGATTTTGATTCCACTGACAATAATTACTGTGACAGTAGACTAGTTTAGTATTTTTGAGTGCGTTTTGTTGGCTTTGTTCATCGAAATTATATAGTTTTTGACCTTTTACAAATGAAGGGTAAGGGGAAAAAACCAACGATGTCCATTTTATAGGAATTTTAAGTAATCAACTTGTTTGTTATGTTGGTGATACTGAGTCCCAAACACACGCTAATTTGTAAGCTGATAAAACAAACGAGATTCTAATAATAAGGCATTTAAAAAGAATCAAACGGTTAAAAACAGACGTTGTCCTCACACTACTGGAGAAAAACTGACTTGGTCCAGGCTAAATACAATGATTTGCAAGTACTAAAACGATTTTATCACCCAAATACTAACAAATTTTATGAAACATTGTTATACAGATGAAAATCTCTTTATTCTAGGTTAGTTTTCAAATGGAAATCATTCCTTTTTAATAAGTTATTTTTAACGTGCGGTTTAATTCATTTCTAAGATAAGATTTGGTAATAATATTAATTATTAACTCAATTTTCTCAGTAATAATATATTCTTAAAGTAAGTAGATAACATGCACCAATTACATTCCATTAAACTATTTTTTATGACCTGAAACAATATTAAAAAAAAAATTGTATAAACATATATATAAAATTCAATGATGTAATTGTTAAAAGTGTGACTAGAGGTTAACTGTCAGTGGAACAAAAAATACGTCGCACTAATATGGCGTAATACAGAGAGACAGATGCAGCCGCAGTATACTTGTTTAATTATTATTTATTTATGGAGTGTGTTCTGTTTACCTAAATTATATTGTTTTTGAACAACTTTCATCCAAAAGTAAGTAGCTAATATGTATTGAGAATTAATTTAAACTTTAACAGAAAAAAAGCATATTATGTCCAATGCAATGACATAATGTTAAAAGTTTGGTTAAAAGTTAACTGTCAGTGGAACCAAAATTAAATCACTCTAATATGGCGAAATAAAATGAATAAAACATGAAATAAGCACAATGATATTATAAATTATTAAAATTATCAACCACTAATGTGCCAAAACATAGAAAAAGAAATGCCATTAATAGACATTCAGGTCTATGTAAACTTGTTTGTCAAATAACCAATCAGGCGTAAAAATTTAAATAGCTCCTCCTAGTTTTAAAAATGAAGTATATATATTAGAACCTCTATAAAATGCTTAACTGATTATCATTATTTTAAGTTCATACTGTATGATGATGTATGACAGTTGACAATTATTATTCATGGTTCTGTGTCAAGCAAAGTGTGAATATTGTATTTCTAATGCAGTAAATCTCAAATTCTCAAGTAAATCCCAATTTATTTAACTAATCCTGAGTAGTTATTTTATCTGTGTATCTAATATTAATCTGCGGCCAAGTTTATTACATATAGTAACAATATATGAACATTTTTGAACTGAAAATATAATAAAAATTATTAATGTTCCTTCTATAGATACCTGTAAAATAGAAACAATGGGAATTCGACTTTCAGCTGATAGGCAGAATGAAGACAAGGGAGCTGTCACTTTAGTAATTTACCTGTAGCAGTCTTCAACTATACTTGAGACCAATAAAATCGACTCACTAGGTGCACTCGAATTTCCGTCTTCTGTTTCAGTCTAAGGAATATGAACATAAAAAAACCATCGTGTATTTAGGAAATACACTAAATATTGAAAACAAAAAAACAATTTAGACGGAGACACGTGTGTAGCTAGTCAGTCGATTAATACTATCAAGTAAAGTTTGAAAAGTTTCACAATGTTGAAATAAACTCACCAAATAATAATAATTGATTTGCTCCTAAGAATGTTTGGATAAAAAACTTACCATCATCAGTAGAACTATCATCTGAACACATTATCATATCTTCATAATATGTGGTAGAGTCTGACTGACTGAAAGTGTCCCCCTCTGGTGGATGGAGTCTTTTCAATGTACATGCTTTTCTGTAACTTACAATTGCTAGGTAAAATAATAAATGATTTAAGGGTGCTGCATTCAGTATCCTCGAAATTCTCTGCAATGCTGTGAATTGTCCCATTATTGCCAAAGGAGCAGGCTCTACCTAAAATAATATGACGAAATATTTATTGTAATAAATTTATGTATATTACAATTCAAGAACTTACCTGTACAATGCTAGCTGCACCTCCACAAACTTCCAAATATAAATCATCAAATAATTCGGATAACAAACTTAAAGCTCTTGAAGCCAGAGCTACAGAAAGAACTCCAAAAGACTGTTGAAACTTTTGTAAACCAGAGCGAGCAGAATTACCCTCTCTTGATTTACAAGGACTTCTTCCCTTTTCGTCTCTTTCTCTAAGGTGAGGAGTTTTTTCTGAAGTTGTACTAGAATTAAGATGAGTCTGAAGGCCAGAGAAAAGGACCCATGCTCCAGCTAGTAAGTAGTTTTGATAAACCTGTCAATAATTATAAAATAAATGTAAAAATGATATATTATCATTAATATTTTGAACTTACATGACCTCCAGCTCGTGTGGACGTTTTAATGACATTTCCTATATAATTGTACATATTTAATGTTTCTTCTACAAGTGCAACTGCATTAGAATCTAAATCATCTTCTTTCAAACCGGCTTGTGACTGTTGATTTGAACATTTTGGTGACACTACTGAACTCATGGATAAGACCGCAGCTGCTGCAGCTTGGCTTAAAGCACAATGCAAGACAGCCATTGCAAGACTACATAATTTGTCTAATTTGCTTGGTGTTAAAGGTTCTAAAACGGGTAGGTTGATTGCCGACATTGCTAGGGTAATTTCTGATAAAGTCGATGACAGCCTGAAAAACATTTTTATGTATTGTAATAGAAACCAGGGCTTAAAAAGTCAGGTTTATAAAAAAACAACCCATTTTTTTGGTAATTTAAATGGCTTTGCCTTTGAGGCATGTTAAGACTGGCCTAATCTTGTGTTTGAATTTAAATACATTACTTCTGCAATCTTTGTTTACACTTCTTTGTGCATACTTGTGTCCATAGATTTTTAAATAAGGTTGATGGAAACTTATATTTTAAAATAATTTCTTAAAATTATTTTTGGTTCACTGCCAACATGAATGAACACACTTATTTTAATTGCATATTCCAACTCATGCTTCAATATATGTCAGTGCAACACAGGTGGGAAACTGTTGTTTCTGAAGGATGTACATTTCCTTGTTTCTCTCATTTTATTAGGTTGCTTTGTTGGAGATTTACCGACACTTTATACAAACAACGAATGTGAGATTAGTATTTGTGAGGCGAATTATTGTTTTTCAAGTTTAAGAGCAATTAAAAAATTAAACATTTTATTTGATGCCATTGATAATAATGGATTATCCAGGTAATATATTTTTGTTATACTTACGTATTTCTAAGAGCTGTAGCTTCAGCATGATTGGTAGGTATACAAAACGGTTTACCAGCTAAAGCATCTTCCACTTTACCCTTAGCTCTTTTTATTGAAGGTAAACTAAGGCACAAATCCACCAAGGCGTCACCAGCTCTTAGAGCTTGCAAACTTTCTTGGTTGGATTTTAAAAATAATCTCTGAAATAGTATGTTTATTATTGAGTTAGTCCAAAATGTAAGAATAATTATTATGTTTATTATATTCAATATGTTTCAGTTAATACTTAAATAAACAATAGTGAGTCATACTCTTGCACCTGATAGTCACACTTACATTTATTTCTAATGAAGGATCACTGCCAGGGGTTAAGTCTGGTAATGTTGATGAACCACTTGCTCCAACGTCCAATGTTGTGGTTCTTCCATCTCTTAAGGGTAGGGTTAACTGTTCATAAATGCTGACTGACAAGTCAGATCGATTTTTAGGGGATTCCTGTTTATTACTTGCATCTTTCTCATTGCCTATATATAACATTTCATTATTTGCAAACTTTTTACACCATTTTTTTTATATACAAATTAAAAAGTTGAAATTTAAAATTAAGTATACCACATAACATGTATCTCCTATTTTTACTTTTGAGTATTACATTTAAAAAATGTAACTCCTCATTTCAGTCAATAAAATAATGATAGAGGATGGTATCAATTCTACAGAAGATAAAGTGAACATTCCTAAATATTCTTTTTTAAAAATAGTTTTTTCTTAAATTTGTCAAAAATATTGGTATATTTATTTGATTCTTAAAATTCGAATTTATAATAAAGTATAAAATGCAAAAAAAAAAACCATTTGTGTAATAAGAAGTACGTGATATTGTAAGGAAATATTATCCATTTAAAGTATTAAAATGGATATATTAATGTGACTTAACTCCTGTTTAGGCTATTTAGATTGAATAAAAAAAAATACAGAATTTAAGTCTAATAAAAATAGATCATTTAGCATGTAGACGATGATGATAATAATAAAATTATATACAGGGATCATTAAGTATGTCGTCAACCTTTAAGGTGTTATTCCTTACTCAATTTTGAATTGAAATATAATAAGATTTAATTAAAAAATAAAGCACATTTATATGAACTGTTTTTCTTAAAATTGATTAAGAAACTCTATCTTAAAGTTTGGTACATACTTAATGATCACCCAATAATACCAATACCAATATGATGTATACAAAGTGGTAAAATTAAGTTTTTTTAAGAGTGGCTCGAAACAAGTAAAACAAGGGTAGGAATGGAATCATAAATGCAACAACTAAATCAAGAGAATTTAGAACTGAAAAACTGAAGGTTAATAATGTTCTGTTTTTAGCCTATTAAATCAAAAAATAGTTTTTTTACTACTAACCTGAGAAATTGCTATTATTCACTCCATTCCCCTAACGAGAAGTAATATTTCTCACCCTAGGTAAATAATGATAACAAAAAAACACCTAAGTAAATAATGAGAAAAATTCTATATTCTTAACGAAATTAACAGAAACACTTGTTAACGTAATTTTAACCAAAAGCACAAAAATATATATTAACTAGGAAATTCAACACCAGCAATAGGCTTCAAAAATTATTAATTAATACCAATAAATCTATGTCACTAAAATATCAAAAATGCAATGGGATATTTCCTAGAATCATATCAAAATTTGACTCATGCCAAATTTTTACATAAATAAAGCCAGTCTGATTAGAAACAGGCTCCACTCTGCTTGATATTTCGAAATATTTAACAAATTGTTAGGAAATTACTTATGTCAAAATTAAAATTGCTAATATATTAATGTTAGTAGTAAAAAAAATTCTATATATACCTCGGCTGAGAAAGCTATTATTTACCTCACACATTATATCCCTTGGCGCTACGCGCCTCAGGATATAAAAGTGCTTCGTAAATAATAGCTCACTTCTCATCCTAGGTATATAATGTACTATTTTGGACTACTAACATGAGAAATCACCATTATTTACTCCATTCCTCTAATGAGAAGTAATATTTGTCACCCTAGGTAAATAATGAAACATTTATATTTTTAATGGTATGGACAGAAACTCTAAGCAAAAATCAAATAAAGTCGGAAATTCAACACTGATAAGTGGTATGATACCAATTATTCTATTCTATTCTATTCTTTATTAATCCATTTAAACAGTTATAATGTTATTGGACACGTCAGAATTATAAATATAAAGGTGTATACAATAAATAAAAGTAATTAAACAAAACAATACAGACAAATATAGAAGAGACAAACGTAGAATGGTAGGCGAAAAGGGGCATTTGTATAAATTTATCTAGAACAGTTTGGTGGTGAAGCATGTGGTACAAATTTATATTGAAAATATTCTTGCACTGAATATGGACATATTTCTAAAAGCTGTTGTTTTATTCGATAATTAAATGTTTTTAATGTTGATTCATTTTTTATGCTCTGTGGCAGTTTATTGAATAATTTTATTCCAAGAATTGTTGGTGACTTAGCACAAATATTTAGCTGTGCTAACAGAGGAACAAGTTCATCTTTGTTCCTGGTGCTATATGAATGAAAGTCGCTATTACGTTTAAAATTCGATTTGTTTTTATATATGTATATTAAAAGTTCTAAAATATATACTCCGAATACGGTAAGGATTTTAAGTTTTTTAAATAGAGGGCGACAGGAATCTGTTGGTAGAATACCAGCCAAGCATCTTATAATTCTCTTCTGAGATATAAATACTTCATTAGCATGGGACGATCCGCCCCATACACAGATACCATAAATCAACCTAGAATGTACATTTGCGAAGTAAATTTGACGAAGATGGTGAGGTTTTAAAATGCATTTAAGGTTACGAAGTTGAAAACATTGTGAGTTTAAGGTTGTCGCTAAATTTTGACAGTGAGTTTTAAACGATAGATTTTCATCGAATGTTATTCCTAGAAATTTTGTGGAATCAACTGTATTTATGTGTGTGTTGTTTACAGACATATCTAGACAAGGTATATTAGAATTTTGGTATGTATGGAAATAAATGTAGTTAGTTTTTGTAATATTAAATAATAATGAGAGATTACTAGCCCATTCCGAGAATATTTTAATTGACCTATCGATTTTATTTTTCAATTGTTCTTCAATGGGATCAGAAAACAAGAAAGTCGAATCATCTGCATAGAGAATTGTGAATGCATGGTAAAGTAATTCTGGAAGTTCATTTACATAAATTGTGAAAAGTATGGGAGCTAACACTGACCCTTGGGGCACTCCTATATTATTTATTATTTCTTGAGAGAAACACTGTTTTCCTGAGTTGTTACTTTTAACCATTTGGGGTCTATTTGTAAGATATGTTTCAAACCATTTATTTTGATTGCCTCTAATTCCAGATGAGTGAAGTTTATTTAATAAAACATCATGCTGAACACAGTCAAAGGCTCTGCTAAGATCACAGAAAATCCCAGCCGAACCCCCACTACACTCAATAGATTGAAGCACTTTTTCGTATAAGGAGATAATGGCTGTATTTGTAGAGTATTTAGGACGGAATCCGTGTTGAGATTCAGATATAATCTGATTTAAGTTAAGGTATTTCATTAGTTGCTCCAGCATTATGTATTCGAATATTTTTGAAAGAGTAGAAGTCATTGAGATAGGTCGATAATTAGACATATCGTGCGGGTTACCTCTTTTTAATATAGGCGTTACTATAGATGTTTTTAATCTTTCGGGAAAAATACCTTCTTCCAGGGAATAATTAATTATATGAGTTAGTGGTGTTAAAATATATTCTGCGATTTTCTTTATCAAGTTTCCAGAGATATCGTCAAAACCGCTGGATGGTTTGTTTTTGATTTTTTGTTTTATGACTGTGTTTACATCTGATTCAGAGACATAAGAAGTAAAAAAGCTCTTTGTGGGTGACTTATTGTTATTATATTTATGATTTGTTTTTGGAGTTGAGATTCTGTTAATTGTTTCATATGGAATCGAAGTAAAAAACTGATTGAACATATCAGCTATAGTTGTTGGGTTTTCAATAATTTTGCCATCGTTGTGAATTGAAATACTCTTTGTTGTCTTTGTCTTACCTTGTAGTTCATTTATGACTTTCCATGTTGCTATATTTTTATTTGCCGAATCCTTAATTTTATTATTATAATATTCGGATTTCGTGTTTTGAACAAGCTTTCTATGATTTATTTTAGCATGATGATAACATTCATGCAACTCGGGGAATTTTTTCTTCAATTGAAATAGATCTTTTAATTTATTAGAGGACTCTTTTATGTACTTATTTACCCAACAGCGAGGTGGTAATCTAGAAGCATTTATTTGTCTTAAAGGGCAACTAGCGTTAAAATAGTATGTTAAAGTATTGTGAAACACATTGAATTTTGAGTTGGTAGTATTTTCTTGATATATCCCATTCCAGTTTTCTTTGGAAAGGTATGTTATTAGGTCGTTAATGTTAGTCTCTCCCATTAATCGACTTTGATATGAGCTAGGATTGGTTTTTAGTTTTAGCTTATTGAATTTTAACAGGAAATTGTCATGATCTGAGTCTGTATTTAAAGTTACGATTCCTACAGTATCTTTGTAATTTGTGTAAATCTGATCAAGTACATTACTACATGTTTTGGTAGTTCGAGTAGGAGTAAAATTTTTTGGGATGAGCCCATATGATGTGACTAACTGTTCAAAGGCAAAGCTTTGATTTGAGTTCATAGAGGTATGATTAAAATCCCCAGAGAGAACTATGAAATACTTGGGCTGATAAATTTTATTTAGAATTAAGTTAAGATTGGATAAAAATGTTGTAGGATGTCCGCTAGGTGACCTATAACATGAGAGAATTATAAATGTATCGCCATTGAATATCCACCTTATACCACATATTTCTATTTCCTTCTCTATGCAATATTCTTCAAAGGAAATCGATTCAATTATGAGATGTTCTTTGGACCATATGCAGACACCACCTCGTTGATACAATGAGCGACTAAAACAACTAGCTAGGTTATAACCTGGAAAATGAAATGTTTTTATATCCTGTTTAGATACCCATGTTTCTGTTAAGCAGACAAAATTTATAGAGAAATGATTGATTTCCGATATAAGGTTATCAAGTTTATGTTGTTTCAATCCTTCAATATTACACAAAAATATATCATAACAAATACTTTTTACAGGATCCTTATGTGATAAATAAACACTTTTAGTATCTATGTTATTGACATTTCGTCGGCTAAATTGACAAAATTTACATCGCTATTGAGTCCTACATTTAAGTCATTTGTTATATCTATAACATTGTCATTTAAATTCTTGTTAGAAGTTTCAGTATTTGTAACATCACAAATTACATTATTACATGTTATGTGGATCAAAGTACCATTTTTTTTGTCATTGTTAATTAAATTTGATAATCTAAGTGCTAATATTTTTTTACTAATACTATACCCATCCTTATTATTCACATCTACTATTGATACCTTGCTTTTTTCAACACATTTATCAAGTCTTATAATATAATTTATTAGTTTATCGTTAAACTTATTAATGAAAAATTCATATTTCGGCAATTTAGAAGGAACTGTAGTCAGAATTAAATTGGTATTAAGACATTGTTTTAATTTAAAATTTAACAGTTTGAAAGAAGGGTAATTATGATACAGAAAATCATTAAAACCAGCTTGAATAATAACAAAATCATTTAAAGTAAATGTTTTTGTTAGTCGATCTATGTATTCAATCACATCTTTAAGGCAGGCGCCAGGTTTAATAATAGTTTCTATACTATATTTATCCTTAAGTTGCAAATTTAATAATCTACCCAAATTTCTACCCCCCTCATCACACAAAATTAAAATTTTATTTTTATTGTCTTTATCCCCTCGGCGCGTCACTGTTATGTCATTCATTGGTTTGGTTACTTCATGGGCTAATTCATTAATATTTTTTGTTGATTCAACACGTTTGTGGGTTGTATTAGAGAACTTGTTAATATCATGTGTAAGATTTTTCAATTCCCAATTGTATCTAGCATTTTCACCTTCTAAAAGTTTAATACTTTCCAACATTTGCCTGCTTATCATATCCAAATCCTTTATCTCATCCTCCAAAGACACAATTTTATCATTTTTATTCTGAAGTTCACTTTTATGTAATTTCTGCATCTCATGAAAATCTGAGATTTGTTTGTTCAAATCATTTATTACATTTATTTGTTCCTTTAGTTTTTCAACGTCTTCTCTTTCTAATTCCAGAGCTTCATTTTCAAAATCACGAGTTCTTTTATTTAATCGTTTAATGTGATTATTTTTTTCTTCCAAGGTTTTACTTATTTCATTAATTACTGCCTGCATTTGTTCAATTTCTTCATTTTTATCATATTCATTTTTCTGTAGTAATATATTTTTTTCGGAATTTTCCTTTTTTAATGAGTCAATCTTTTCATATAACTTATCTGTTTCCTCTTTTTTATAATTATCTTTATTTTCGCAGTTTTGGGAACAGTAAATTTTACAACCGCCTAATTCTTTAAAGTGTTTTTTTCTTTCAATACAAGAAGGATGAAAAACATCAAAGCAAACGATACAATACAGATTGTTAAATACCTTATTCTTACAACATTTAAAATTGATTGGATCCATTAGTTACAAAAATCATTGGCAAATGGAGACGATACGCCACTGGTAAAAGAAATGTATTTGAAATAAAATCTTCAGCAGTTACTGATGAGAGTTTTTACTTCACCGATAAGTAGGAGCATAAAAAGTGTACAAAAAACACCAAACAAACTGAATGCTCCAATAATCAGATGCACTTATTTCACACCATAAAATATGTTTCTGAAAAGTAACTATATCACTGGACACAGGAGAAATTTCACTTTCGGTTGATATAATTTTCGATTAAGTCCGCGCGGCATTACGCGGTTTAAAGCGACAAAATCGAGCTTAAAAAGTAAGGCCACCGAATAATAGGCTGGCGATCAACAAAAAAAAATTAAAATTGAATTCCATTAGTTTCATCCCAGACTGCTTGATATTTTGAAATATTTGAAAAATAAGTAGTAAATAACTAAAGCTGGGTTAATTAAAATCTAATCAAATAAAGTATGGTAATATATCAGTGTTAGTAGTAAAAAAATTCTATATACTTCAGTTGAGATGGCTCATTATATTGTGAAGCACGTAGCGCATCAGGATATAAAAGTGCTCGGTACATAATAGCTCAGCTCACTTCTCAACCTCAGTGTATAATGTACTATTACTAAATTAAACGTTCAAAAACTTAAAAGTATTAGTATTGGATGTTAGAACATTTTTATCAAAGTTATTTATATATCTATACTCATTTTACCTGAAGGCACTGGATTCTGCTGGGGTAAATTTTCACCCTTCATGCTGTCAACGAGGACAGTAACCTCCGAAGTGGAGAGCAGTCCTGTACCTATACACAATACCCGAATGGCATTTATATATCGTTCAATTTGGGCACTATTTAAATTCCCTTCGCTACTGGCTGAATTTAGGGCACTTAACAAATATTTTAGTAGAACTCTACATGCGGCATTTACTGTCTCTAGCTGACTCGCTGGCACTACACATACAAAAAAATTATTTAAATTATAAAATGTATTATATTCTTGTTATTCTTTTATGAAGGGTGTCTTACATGAAATTACCAAAAAGAGATTTAATCATAAAACTGAACTGGAAATGCCAGTCATAACTTTTTGAGAATGTGACTTCCAAAAATTGACAATCTTTTTGTTTATTAAATAAAATACATCAGATATAGCATAAAAATATCAAATAACTATAAAATATATCAAATAAGACTAGTGAAAATTGTATGACTTGTTTTTTTTAATACATGTTCCAGGTACTTGTAAAACATATCAAAGGATATAGGTATCAAATATTACTAATATTGAGTAACTAATAAATAAGTTATATTTTTGTTTATTTGTTAAGTTAAATTAATTTAAGTAAGTAGACTGTTTTAACCAAAAATAAGTTCAAATTAAGTGACTCAGTGTCATCCTTGCCCAACCCACACATTTGGTATTGTGCATACCTTCATAAAAATACCTAAATATTTCAGTGCCAAAGTTGCCCATCTCCATTATGTTAGCCCAGTATAGTTTAAAATACAGATTGGATACTTAGGCACTGAAGAATTTAGAGAATTTTATGAAGTTATGCATGATATCAGCAAATTTTAAAATTTGTGGGTTAGGCAAGAAAGTGAATGTTTGAAATCTTTTTAAATATCAAAACATTGGAGATAATTATGTTGCTAACAAAATTATATTTTTTTGGTTATAAAACAATAACCACAAATACAGTTGTGATAGAAAATACAGGGACGTAAATATGTCAATTAAAAAATTATATTCTATGAAAAAAGCTTAATCCTCTGATTTTTAGCTGGGTAGCTATTCTTGAATTCCAGGGAATAGAAAACCGGTTTTTCTTCTTTATCAGCAAGGCACAACCTTTGCATTTTTATCTCATTCTTCCCTCAAAATTTCTACTCCCCGAGATTCAAGAATAGATACCCTGTACTATTTACTTCATACAAGATATAAGACTGTTAAAATTACAATTTTCTTTATCAAAAATTGTTGCTATCCTACCTATAGTCTCATCAATATTATCTTATTGAGCAATACATAGATATAACTTTTAAAAGTATATTCAGTAAGATTACAAACACAATATAAAAAAGGATAAATGTAATCATACTATAGTGAATAAAAACTTCTTGTTTTAAGATTAAAATACCAGGGTTATTTAGTATTTACGTTAAATCATTCCCTTTATAAATATAGATTATTTTTGATCATGTAAGAAGTGATTTTAGAAAGAACAAAGCCCCTAACATTTACAGCTGACACTGCACTAAAATTAGCATTAAGGTCAATGAATGATTTTACCATACCAAATAAAATAATTTGGTCAATGTCAGAGTCATAATTCTAATTTTCATGTTATGAACATGCAAAAGTATAAAAAAAATCTGAAAAAAATTTTTTTTTAAACTTTTAGGTCAACTTTTTTAAGGGCAGTTAACCTATTTATTTGAATCGGGAATAAACCTTATCAATAATTCTTTTAACAATAAAAGCTTTCAAAAAGTAACAATGAAATAATATAATTATTTAAATAAAGACGCAGTTTGTACATAGGGCAGCACATTGGCACTGCCTGCTACTGGTAGGTAGGGGGCATTTGTATTATGATCTATTCTAGAAAATACTTACATCCACTTGTACTGCTGCTAATATAATCAGCAGCTAAAACAGCAAATGAATTAAAGAAATTTTTATTACTTTCCTTGTGGCGCAAAATCTCAGATTCGCTAAAAAGAAAACAAAAAATGGGATAAACAAAATGACTAGTAAAAAATCTGTCAGTATTTTTAGACCAGCTCAGTGCAAAACTGTTACCGGAAAATATTAAGTAACATAGTTCATACCTTTTAACAATAGCTGAACATAATTCTATCACTTCTGCTGGGTTAGAACTCTCATAATTTTTCGATAAAAATGGTTTTAAGACAGTCGTCCAATCTACTCCGCCACTGCTCGCTGCCATTGTAATCTGCCATGCCATTTGCCGTTCGAGAACGATGACAAGCAGGACAAGAAGCCGATTTTTCTAGTAACTTTTTGATTTTTGAAATGTCACTAAATGAATCATCATGGACGTTCTTTTGATCTAATTAAGTTACGTTCTACAAAAAATATACATCTAGTACTTATTTGTTTTTATGGTATTTTGCACGTCGTTGCATAGATAAATTAATATTACGTTTAAATTCTTGGAGAGCAAATAGGTATAAAGTGCCACAAATAAGTATAAGGAGGTAATTTTACTACGTCTGGTTAACCAAAAATCAGAAAACTGAATTTTTAAACGCTGATATCCTTCCTCCATGGCTGATATGTATCAAACATCAAACAACGACGCATAGATAAATTAATATTAAATTATCTATGCGTCGTTGTTTGATGTTTGATACATATCAGCCATGGAGGAAGGATATCAGCGTTTAAAAATTCAGTTTTCTGATTTTTGGTTAACCAGACGTAGTAAAATTACCTCCTTATACTTATTTGTGGCACTTTATACCTATTTGCTCTCCAAGAATTTAAACGTAAACAAAAACGTAATAAAAAAATGTTGTTAAGAATGGAATTTGGAATAAAGAAGACCTTTAGAGAAAATCTTCAGAATTATTTAAAATTTTTATATTTTAAATTAACTCTGGCAACAATGTAAGGGAAACTACAGTGACATCTCAGTGACATGCTTGTTTTGTTCGTTATTCGGCTCGGGATTTCTAGTATAATTTAAAGTTAAATAGAGTTACCCAATGTTGAATAGGATAAAAAGGGATAGACATATATCATACACCGTGAATAAGACAAATCAGATGTGAATCGGATTAACATTTAAACAAACAAACTCCTGCATTTATCTTTTTGTTTCTTTTGAGATAAAATGTTTTCATTGTCATTGCAGTCATATTTTATATTAGGATAAGGAAGTTATACACGAAGTATTATAAATAAACAAGAATAAAATTAAATCATAGTGCTTCAAGAATCTATTAAATTAAGTTTATGTAATAAAGTTCGTTGTTTATATCTATCATCTTAATTAAGGCAATAATATGGCTACAGCATCATTTGCTGAAAATGATACCTTGGTAATGTACCTTGTTAATATTTAATTGAATTTTTTAATCCGTGTGTTAACTAATTGACTAAAACGATTTAACTAGTTGTAATCGTTGACTCAGGTGGCAATATAAAGATAAACAGCTAAAACTAGGTACATCAATTTTTACTGTATGAAAGGGATCTATAATTTTGTTCACACATGTAGATATTTAGATATGCAGTTTGCAACTTTAGGGGGATCATTTATTTCATAAAACACATGAAACAAAAATTTAAAAAATATTTTTATGTTGCTTACCTCAGTTTTCCAGAATGTCTTGAAAGTAATTACTGAATACCTAGGATTTTATTTTTATTATCATGGATATAGGTACCTAGTAAAACTAATGAGAATGTAGATTTTTATTTTTCTCTTATAGAAAGTTTTTCAGATTTACTTTAGTACCTAAGTAAAATAAAAAGCATTTAAATTGCATTATTGCATTACAAAATATTAAATTGGGTTTCGTTTTCGATTCATACTTTTTCTTATTAAAAAACTGTTTGAATCACAGTTTTTCATATTTATATACTGTTTCAGCTCAATAATCAGATGGGCCAGGTGAGTATTTATGGCAGGGAAACAAATGATGAGCTTTGGAGGGAATGTGCTGAATGGCTAATAAGATGGGAGATACTTCCAGGAGATCACAAAGCAAATTGTCCTACAGCTTGTATAGCTGATTTAGCAAACATTTTGCGAGAGGGTGTTTTACTCTGTAAATTGCTCAATAAAATTGATCCAGGCTGTATTGATATGAAAGATGTAAATTTGAAACCAACTTTGGCACAGGTAATTTATTTTGAGCACTTTTTGGTAAAAACCTTTGTTGATTATTAAAATATAATGACATGTGAACAATATAATTACTAATTAATGTTATTTCCATTTTTTCAGTTTTTGTGTTTGCGCAACATCAATTTGTTCCTCAAAATATGTGAGAAAAATTTTGGACTAAAACAGTCTGATCTGTTTGAAGACACAATGTTATTTGATTTGACCAATTTTCACAAAGTTCTGTGTACCTTATCAAAGCTCTCTTTATGTCCTAAAACTCTGAGATCCCGAATACCGTGAGTAAATTTGAGATAATCTTACATCTACAAAGATTTATTATTTTTAAAGTAATAATTTAAGATTACTCATCGAATTTTATTATATTTTTATAAATGTTTAGGGGATTTGCTGCTCAAAAATTAAAAAGAGAAGAGGAAGTAATATATCACAGCTTGAGAAGTGTGTAAGTATTTTTTGATTGTATATATTAATAAGAGTGTGTTCTGTACATATTATAGGGTGACAATTTAAAGATACAATGGCTATATCTCATGAACCAAAGATATCAGAAAATACTTAAAACCATTTCTAGGATAAAGGGGAAACCAAAGGGAAACTTAAATGACAAAATACAGAAATCACCCCCCATCTTGAACCTATATTTATTTTCTGAACGCTTTGACATATTTTGCTTCTTTTCTGTCAAAACATAGGTTATTTAATATTTAATGGGTAAAAATTGAAATAAAACATTCAATACAGATTACTATCGTCTACTGTGATACACATATAATTTTAACGTTCATTACTATCTGCATACTATAGTTACTTAACTTATAATGATGAAAATAAAATATAACTTTTATGTCATTAAAAATCTGTTCCCTCTGTCTACAACTACAGAGTGATTCAATGTGCTCATTTGCACCTAAATCTGTTACTTCTGAACACATATCCTACATAAAGGTTTTTGAAAACTACCTTCATGAAAGGACACAGATGGTCAATATAAGAAATGAGCTTAGTAATCCGATTAACATTCAAATAGGTGTGCCACAAGGAACAGTTCTTGGTCCTATTCTTTTTATCATTTATATAAACACTCTTTTAAATTTAGATATAAGTGGTGTCTCAATATCCTGTGCAGATGATACCGTGTTAATATTTGAAGGCTGTAAAATTAAAAGTAAAAAAATGGGACAAAAATTATAAAAGCCTGGCTGGATTATAATAAGTTGTCTTTGAATATATTGAAAACAGTATACATAGCGTTCTACCTAACTGATGCAAATAGGCCAAATTTTAAACAGATTTGCATTGAGGAATCCAAATTCATTATCAAGGAAGTAGAAAATACAGATAAAAATTTAAAATGGGCTTGTCACGTACAATACTTAACAAACAAAATTAGAAGATTTGTACATACATTCTATTTAATTCGGAATATTCTAAACAAAAAGTTATTATACTTAATTTATACCGCTCTGATTGAATCCTTAATTAGATATGACATAATTGTATGGGGTGGGTCATATGACAATGCACTACATCCTCTAAATATAATTCAGAACTTAAAAATAATAAACCATAAAAAGAGTTTGTTTTCAACAACCCTCTTACATAATGAGACAACTCTGAATGTAAGAGCATTATACTTTCACTGAAGCTGTGTGTTCAAATTGAAAAATAAAAGTTTTGTAAACCACCCGTTTATGACTAGAATACAAAAGGAAAGAATGCTAAACGTACCTTTTTATAAATATAATGGAAATAAGAGATTCATTTTTGTAATAGGCCCAAAAATATACAACACTTTAACGGAAAACATCAGACAAATTAAGAATATAAAACCCTTTTCTAAAGCAGTAAAAAAAATTATAAGCAATAACTTCATACATCTCACAAACATGTTGTAAATAAGTAACCTAACCTAACATTTAATATTTGTATTTGCTCATAGATCATCTATATAACTTATGTATTATTAACTTTATATCCTATTTTTCTTTTGCACATGCAGGTATTTTACATCTGGGTGCACCATTATAATTTTAGATTTGTAAATTAGTGTATTAGTTTATATTGTGAATATTTTTTCTATAAATAATGGAATGTAAAAAGTGGCAATACGGAACAATTTTTAAGACAATAGATTAATTGAATTGAGAAGAAATATGTGCAATACCAACTATTGGAAAGCTGGTAAAAAATGTTTTTTAACAATATAAGTTGTACCCCATGCAGGATGGTTCAATAGTACATAATATTTAAAAAGAAGATGGCATTTTTATATAAATGAAATATTTATACAGATTTCTAGTCCAGGAATACAAAGTAAATTGTTTTTATTACTTTTTGCTTTAAGACTAGTTTCTTCATCTTAAGTTCATAAGTAACAACCATTGTAAGTTTTTAAATTGTCACCCTGTATGTATAATATAACAAAAATAAATATGTAAATTTCTTTCTTGAGCTGATCAAACGTTTGAAACAACTTAGAATAAAGAAGAATTTAAAATTATGTAAATCTTTGTAGAATTTTAGAAATTGTAGTTACTCAAAATTCTTTTTAGCATTGTAAAATTTGGAGAGGTATAAACAAGTTCTATTAAATTATAGCCCAATGAAAATTTTTAAAAATATATTTTTTTGCCTAACTTGTAATGGAATACAGTCTACTACTCTCTCCATTTTTAACTCCTATTTTTTCTTCTACTACCCGACATGAACAGTTGTAGTTGCCCATTTGGGCTTATCTCTGTTACTTTTAGTGTGTTTCACACAATATTTAAGATAAGCAATTTGAATATGTGTACAAGGTCCAATATAATTATAATGAATGTAGTTGTTTAGATAATCTAATCGAGATTTGGTTTACAAAACACTTCCCGTAATTATCAGAATTAAAATATTTCTCTGATTTGCATATTTTGATTATGTAAAGATACCAAATGAATTGTTTTTATTTGCATGCATCGATTCTTTTCTATTAAGAGCATTTTTAAATTAACAAACAATTGAAATTGATGTATTGCTACCCTCCGTTTTTTACGTTGAACAATTAGTAATATTGGAAGTTAAAAATATAAAGTCATCGAAGTATGTATATTGCTCATAAAAAATATTTTCACAAAAATACCCATCCTGAATATCCCAGAAAATAGAACTGTCAAAAAAAATCCGAAAATATATAATTTTTTACTGAGAGGGGACATCTTTTGGTGTACCTTTAAGCGGTATAACTCTCGCCTCTACTCACCAGCACTCAGAATTCTTAAATACTTACCTTAAGATACCTCATTGGATAGGTAATTTAATTAGGGGATCAGCTATATAATAATTGGGAGAAAATGAAAGATTTTTGATTGAGTCAGGGTAGCCGTTTTCCCTGTAAATGGTTGGTAACAAGTTTGCTTGACCTCGACAGCAGCGAGTTATGATAAACTCTAAGGATAAACTATAATTTGGTACAGTCGGTAAAGTAGAGCAGAACTAAGTAAAATGTTTTAAAAAATGACGAGCTTCAAGATTTATGAAATTTGAAGTAATTTCAAGTAACATTTTCCTATTTTTAACCGACTTCAAAAAAGGAGGAGGTTATCAATTCGTCGCGATATTTTTTTTTTTTATGTATGTTCAGCGATTATTCTTTAACACGGTGTCCGATTTCAATGATTCTTTTTTGTTAGAAAGGGGCTACTTCAGGGGTGGTCCCATATAAATTTAGTCAAAATCTAACAATTGGGTCCATGAGAAAATCCTCAAACTCTTCATTTTTTATGTATGTTTAGCGATAATGCTTTACCACCTTGTCCGATTTATATGATTCTTTTTTTGTTAGAAAGGGGCTACTTCAGGGGTGGTCCCATATAAATTTGGTTAAAATCTAAAAATTGGGTCCATGAGAAAATCCTCAAACTCTTCATTTTTTATGTATGTTTAGCGATAATGCTTTACCGCCTTGTCCGATTTATATGATTCTTTTTTTGTTAGTAAGGGGGTACCTCAGGGGTGATCCCATATAAATTTGGTTAAGATGTGGTGATGGCACCTGCACGTTTTTGAAGTCGGTTTTTTTAAATTTTTAATTTACACTTGTTAACCGACTTCAAAAAAGGAGGAGGTTATCAATTCGTCGCGATATTTTTTTTTTTTTATGTATGTTCAGCGATTATTCTTTAACACGGTGTCCGATTTTAATGATTCTTTTTTTGTTAGAAAGGGGGTATTTCAGGGGTGGTCCCATATAAATTTAGTCAAAATCTAATAATTGGGTCCATGAGAAAATCCTCAAACTCTTCATTTTTTATGTATGTTCAGCAATAATTTTTTAACACCGTGTCCGATTTCAATAATTCTTTTTTTGTTAGAAAGGGGCTACTTTAGGGGTGGTCCCATATAAATTTGGTCAAAATCTACTAATTGGATCCATGAGAAAATCCTCAAAGTCTTCATTTTTTATGTATGTTTAGCGATAATGCTTTACCACCTTGTCCGATTTATACGATTCTTTTTTTGTTAGTAAGGGTATACCTCAGGGGTGGTCCCATATAAATTTGGTTAAAATGTGGTGATGGCATATGCACGTTTTTGAAGTCGGTTTTTTTAAATTTTTAATTTGTAATACTTGTACAGCTTTTACTTACAATAATTAAAACAACCAATAAGTAAAATGTATTTTTATTGTAAGTAAATGCTGAAAAACGGAAAATGTCACTTGATTTAAATGAAAACTAAAAAACATTTCTAATAAATTTATTTTATTCAGAATAGGTAACTGTCATTACATTATATAGATAAATTATATAGATATTCAACAGCATATTCGAAATATAAGCACTATAATCACACACTAAATTACTGAAGTATAAAAATATAAGATAATGTTTAATATTTATTTATTTTTTAATTTTTATATGGATGTAAAACGCTTCGCGCGCTACGATAAACTACAATCAAGGAAACAATTCCCGCCTATTGTTTAAACCTCTTTTAATTGTCTATGGGTTAAGTCATCAGTGTCCTGATGATGGCTTATTTTACTAAATTAAGTAAAATTCTATTAATACAATTTCACCTGTGCACACCTGAAATACACAAATTTTTCATTTTATCCTATTACCCAGTGGGTACGCAACAAATATCCTCTGAAATATGTAATTTTATATTATATTTTATATAATTTTATAAATATGTAATATAAATACATTTTGATTAAGTTCACTGTTAAAATAGAACAAACTTCCAAATTTTACCTTCGTAAGTTCAGTCTGTAGATTTTGATCAGGGCCGGTTTTACCTAACATGAGGCCCTAAGCGCCAGACAATTTTGAGACCCTTTGTTAGACATCTGTTTTATAATATTTTTACTAAATAAACTATAGAGTTACCAGGTTGTTTCGTGATATATTTCAAATCAAATTTCAGTCACAGCCAAGGGAAAAAAAAAGATTTTTTAATACA